TCCCCCCCCCCGCCCCCCCAATAGGTGGCCTAAGTGTCAATTATTTTCAAAGGACAGTGGTGCCTTGAGATACAAGTGACCCGGCTTACGTGTTTTCTAGGATACAAGCTGTCATTCAGTCCATTTTCAAGCAATGGCTATTTGAACACGAATGGTGGCGCAACATGTTAGACATACAATACAAAAGTACTCACAAGCACATTTTTAATCATGTGCTTATGGAGTTAATGGAGTCATTTGTGAAACTCCTCGTGTCTGTATTATACTGCCCCAGGTGGCCTAGGCACACACCAGAAGTAGAAACGTACATAACAATACCAGTCAAGAGAAATTATAAGCGCTGAGTAATAAATAAAAGAAGAAAAAAAAATGAAACTAACGTAAAAGTACTCACACTTTCATGATGACTAACACTTAATGCAGAGAGAGTGAGAAGTTGTTTCCGGAGAGTTTCCGCCTGTGGTATTTTACTCTGTCAGCAGCATTTGCGGTTGCTTTATACTACAGGTACACACTTTCTGGACAGTATCATTATGTTTTTGACTTCATGCTATCACATGAGAATATGTTTGGTAACTCTAATTTGTGGCATCACAAAAAAGGAAAAGATCAAAAGCAAAATACACTTGTTTGAAATTTTTATCTCATTGTACATGTACAGTACGGAGTGACAATATAAGGCATTCTAACTCTTTTGATGCACACTCTGAGAAAAAGTCACAAAATTTGTTGGTGCATCACATAATTATTGTTTCAAGCTGTGTTTGACTTTTTTGGGGGTTGGTTTTTTTCCCACTCAAACCTGGCAAACCAGTGCTGCGCACTTATATAGTGCATAGGCCACTGAAAAGCAAGCAGTGATGGAAGGAGTAAAAAGTTTGGAAACATTTGGATTTAAGGATGATATTTTCGTCAAAAAGAGAGTATAAACCTGCAAGGTTATCAACTCAACATTTGTCATGATAAAACCCACAGAAACATGCAATCTAACTTAACAATTTAGCTAGCTGATAGCTGGCCGAACATTAAGTTTCATGTCGGTTATGCAGACAATAAAGTAACGGACAATACAAACCGTGGTTTGGGACCATCAAAATGTGATTGTGAATATGTTTGCGCAGCTAACTAAGCAAATTAGTCGCTAAGTATGTAAGTCAGTAATTAAAGTAATTACGTAAATAAGTAAGTCCTTATGTACCTACCTACCTAAGTAAATATCCATCTGTTATCTG